AAACAAAATGTTAATTAAACTGACAGAAAGAAGTTCCATCTAATTCAGTGATAAGCCAAGCTTAGACCTCAAGAATCTAATTGAGATTGAATATTCCGTATAAAAAAGCCAAATGACTGAATATTCGACTGTTAAATATTTTAATGCAATTAATCGACCTTCTAAATAGTCGAAATTTGTAAAGATATATTTATTCTATTTATCAAATACTCGAATATTTTGAATCATTGTTCGGCTTTCGAGTTCGAAAGATTCCACAACTATGACTCGAATAATATTCCTTCGTTCGACACTTGCGATCGAATATTTATTCGAATACCTGCAAAATCTTTATGGTTGAGGTGGAATACTTGTGTTTGAACAGAATGATTGAATAACATGGAATAACATGAGTTAGGACATTCGAGATAGCGAATATTCTAAAGAATGCACTTATTCAACCATTGAAATATCCATGTCGCCTAAACTTAGTTATTCGATTTCGTAGTCGAATATGCAGGGCCGTTACTAATCGAATGATCTGTCTTAAATTTTCAAAATGGTACTTCGTTTATTAGTCATTCGTTCAACTATACTCGTTACGAACGAACATTTGATGCTCGTCGCGAGAAAACTTTTGTAATACTTAACAGAATCTTTTACTTGGACGAGGGTCAGGGAGCAGAGAATCGGTGTCTGAGAGTCCGCAGTGGTTGTAGTAGTGCGCTAATGTTCGCTGGGGAAATTGCTCAGATGAAATTTGCCCTCGATTATGAGGTTCTCGGGAGGCCGACGCAGATCGAAAATCGGTCCGCCGCTAAGCTGTGCCCTTTTTAGAATTTTTCGAATAAACTGCCAGCTTATAAAACCTTCAAAAAAGAAAACGGAGTAGTTAAAGGTGTGAAAATAAAGATTCCAAGTTTTTGATAATTAATCATAATGAGAATCAAAAAGAAGAAGTAAATAAATACAATGATTTCTATTTAAGGACTGACTCGCTCAACTGTGACTAGCCCTTGTCTTCTCATAATTCGCATATCTCCCAATATCTACCTCACTGTTCAAAAATGACGTCAGCCGATAATCAGCGACAAACACTATTAGCGAAGCCTAAACTGCTGGCCGTTCGCACTAGAGAATTACTGACTTTTGAATTCCACTGAACCACTTGCCATTTGATGTCCTACCGCAATAGAGACTATCAGTACTTAATTACGAAGGACCGCAACATGAATGCTTATGCAAGAATTACTTGGGGCCTTTGATTCTATCGAAATGTTCATATTTGTTATTTCTTCATAATGACTCTTCGTTCAATCATGTAGCTATGCAATTTGAAGCCATTTGTGAAAGATATGGTTTTTGCTCTAATCGTAATTTTACATAAAAATTGATATCCATTGACTTTTGATGTTTCTAGGTTCTCCCCAGAATTTAAACCAAAATATTTCATTATTCAGACTTACTAGTGATCTATGCGATGTGGTTGTCATTACTTGGACCTAATCACTATGAAAACTAGGGTATTAAGTGAGCGCGCAATTATTGTTCGGCAAAGATGAGTTGTATTCCGTACTCTCATTTAGTTATGCTGACAGCAGCAATAGAACCTCAATCAGAGATTTCCTCGCTCATCTGAACATCTGATATTTTTGATACATTCATTGTTTTGAAAATGCCGAAGGATTCAACACAAAAAGATATGTAATCATAATAAAGCGACTAAGGAGAATTGAAAGTGAGTGGCTTAGTTTCTAGTTTTAAGGTTCTAATGAAATAAATACTTTTCACGCCCTGAAGACACTGAAATGAATACCGCAGCACCGTTTATTGTTGAGCGAATTATTTTTTTTGTGATGTTCAGAAACGCACTTATAGGCCTGTCAAGACGCAAATTACATATCAAATCGGCTTTCAAAACATTGCTTTTTTAAGGTGTTGTTGTCTAATAACAAGTGTTTGTTATCATCTTAGACATTATCTCATGCTGAACAAACAATTAATCAATTAGAATAACGATGTCACATTTTTCGATATAAAGCTACAGCTATACACTGCTATTCGGACAGAAAAGATCGCAGACAAAAGGTCAAGCTTCATTGTTGTGAAGCAACTCTTGTTCAGTTTTTGATTTAGAAAGGAAAAAAGGAGTGCGGTTGCATATCAATGGTGACTTCATCGTTATGAACAGGTCATAGAACTCTAAGATCACTTTAGCAGCAATGCTTGTGATGCATGCAGTCGTTAGATCATGATCTTTCTTAATTCTTAGAAAGTTTCTCACAATTTGAGCTGCGAAACAGCAATATTTCAAAAAATCAGTCAAAAAAAGCTCAATAATAATATTCTAGATTTATGATTACTAATGAAGGTACCCATACTTTATATTCGAGGTCATAAATATCATATAAAGTCTTCTTCGCTGTTAGCCTTTCATTGAAATCACTTGCTCGTCAACTTATTATTCCTATAATTGATTCAAATCTGGAAAGGAAGCTACCGGTTCTTCCTGATATAAACATCACTAATCTCATCCGCACTAAATGTCTAGCATTCACCGAAAGCAACGTGATGTGACATTTGATCAGTAAAAATGTTATCTCTAATTGATAACCTAAAATTTTTGACAAGAGGTTTTTTTCCATAATGAGCCCAACACAAACGTATGAAACGCTTTTCAAGAACTTCAAAAATAGGATTAGTCTTATCCATAATCATGTTTTTGAACAAGGTTCTATTTTAGACTGCTATGAATTAATACTTAATCAACTCCCCTTCAGCTGTGCAGAAAATAAGTGATGCACAGAATATTAATTTGTTTAAAACAAGAAGATGTTGAAAGAGTGTAGTGTTCATTTTTAAAACAAAATAAATTCCTAAAAGTCTGATCATGACGCCCAGAATGGTTTGATGTTTTATTGTCTTATGATTGCCAATAATTGCACAAGTTACCAAACGTGACGAAGAAGTGACAGTTTAGGCTCGGCGAGCACGAGCGCGAAGACGGGCTAGGATCTCGTTGTCGCTCTTGAATTGCGTGTCGAAAGGATCATCGAATTTGCATCCGATACGGTAGTTAACAGTCGAGTTGAGGCATTTGCCGCTGCGCCACAAGTATTGCTCCTCAGCCCGCTGCGGACAAAGCAATAACTTTGTGCCAGATAAACTCAATTAACTTCAATTACCTTCTCAATCTGATAGGTTATGTAGTTGAAGCAAGCTCGATGACCTTGATCGATGAATGAAATGAAGACGGTGTGTGAGTTAGGGCAGACCAAGTCACAGTACTCTCGTTCTTCACCTTCGTGATCCTCCTGAAAAAGTTTCTGGATTTAAGCTAATAATTTGAAGGAATGGGATTGATGACCTTCCAACATCCAAGACCTTTGGGGACTGGTCGGCCTGTCTCCAACTCCTCTTCCTTTAGAATAAGTTGGCACTCTGCTCTGTAAAGGAAAACTCAGCATATTTGGATCCTAGGAGAAAAGGTTAGCTTACTGTACCTATCAGGTCCACCTCGAATGGTGTTAGTAGGTGTTGAGCATTTGAGCTCTCGATATTCTTCAATGAAAACTTTAGGAGACGAATTTACATAACACGGGACACTTGAAGACAAAAAGAAAAAACATGAGAACAAAGAAGAAAGGGGTACGAAAAAAAACTCACGGTGGAAGGCAAAAGCCAGAGCGACAGAGCAGGCCGCAATAAGAAGACAACGGAGCATGTTTGAAATTAAGCTGATATCAGGTAGATGGACAAGCCTTATAAAGCAATGCACCCGGATCGTGACAACCGGTCTGCATTGCACAATCAAAGCTAAATGGCCAGTCAAGACCCGTTTCTCGCTCACTACATGTTGTTCGCATAACATGCATCATAACAGGCGGGCTAAAGATCAGCGATAATGACGTATTCGAAGGAAGGGATAGGCTCGACTGCGGTGA